TTTAGCCCCAAATCCCAAATTTTCGTTTCCAACTTTTTTCTAAATGAACGAATTCACGCATATCTTTCTGTAAAACACTAGTCACAAACATAGTTTTGTTCTTAATTTTGCTTCATCTGTCTTTTTACAAATTCGAATGTGAAAAATTGGAAAAATTGGTTTTTTAGCCCCAAATCCCAAATGTTCGTTTCCAACTTTTTTCTAAATGAACGAATTCACGCATATCTTTCTGTAAAACACTAGTCACAATTATAGTTTTGTTCTTAATTTTGCTTCATCTGTCTTTTTACAAATTCGAATGTGAAAAATTGGAAAAATTGGTTTTTTAGCCCCAAATCCCAAATTTTCGTTTCCAACTTTTTTTTAAATGAACGAATTCACGCATATCTTTCTGTAAAACACTAGTCACAATTATAGTTTTGTTCTTAATTTTGCTTCATCTGTCTTTTTACAAATTCGAATGTGAAAAATTGGAAAAATTGGTTTTTTAGCCCCAAATCCCAAATTTTCGTTTCCAACTTTTTTCTAAATGAACGAATTCACGCATATCTTTCTGTAAAACACTAGTCACAAACATAGTTTTGTTCTTAATTTTGCTTCATCTGTCTTTTTACAAATTCGAATGTGAAAAATTGGAAAAATTGGTTTTTTAGCCCCAAATCCCAAATTTTCGTTTCCAACTTTTTTCTAAATGAACGAATTCACGCATATCTTTCTGTAAAACACTAGTCACAATTATAGTTTTGTTCTTAATTTTGCTTCATCTGTCTTTTTACAAATTCGAATGTGAAAAATTGGAAAAATTGGTTTTTTAGCCCCAAATCCCAAATTTTCGTTTCCAACTTTTTTTTAAATGAACGAATTCACGCATATCTTTCTGTAAAACACTAGTCACAATTATAGTTTTGTTCTTAATTTTGCTTCATCTGTCTTTTTACAAATTCGAATGTGAAAAATTGGAAAAATTGGTTTTTTAGCCCCAAATCCCAAATTTTCGTTTCCAACTTTTTTTTAAATGAACGAATTCACGCATATCTTTCTGTAAAACACTAGTCACAATTATAGTTTTGTTCTTAATTTTGCTTCATCTGTCTTTTTACAAATTCGAATGTGAAAAATTGGAAAAATTGGTTTTTTAGCCCCAAATCCCAAATTTTCGTTTCCAACTTTTTTCTAAATGAACGAATTTACGCATATCTTTCTGTAAAACACTAGTCACAAACATAGTTTTGTTCTTAATTTTGCTTCATCTGTCTTTTTACAAATTCGAATGTGAAAAATTGGAAAAATTGGTTTTTTAGCCCCAAATCCCAAATGTTCGTTTCCAACTTTTTTCTAAATGAACGAATTTACGCATATCTTTTTGTAAAACACTAGTCACAAACATAGTTTTGTTCTTAATTTTGCTTCATCTGTCTTTTTACAAATTCGAATGTGAAAATTGGAAAAATTGGTTTTTTAGCCCCAAATCCCAAATTTTCGTTTCCAACTTTTTTCTAAATGAACGAATTCACGCATATCTTTCTGTAAAACACTAGTCACAAACATAGTTTTGTTCTTAATTTTGCTTCATCTGTCTTTTTACAAATTCCAATGTGAAAAATTGGAAAAATTGGTTTTTTAGCCCCAAATCGCAAATTTTCGTTTCCAACTTTTTTCTAAATGAACGAATTCACGCATATCTTTCTGTAAAACACTAGTCACAATTATAGTTTTGTTCTTAATTTTGCTTCATCTGTCTTTTTACAAATTCGAATGTGAAAAATTGGAAAAATTGGTTTTTTAGCCCCAAATCCCAAATTTTCGTTTCCAACTTTTTTTTAAATGAACGAATTTACGCATATCTTTCTGTAAAACACTAGTCACAAACATAGTTTTGTTCTTAATTTTGCTTCATCTGTCTTTTTACAAATTCGAATGTGAAAAATTGGAAAAATTGGTTTTTTAGCCCCAAATCCCAAATTTTCGTTTCCAACTTTTTTCTAAATGAACGAATTCACGCATATCTTTCTGTAAAACACTAGTCACAATTATAGTTTTGTTCTTAATTTTGCTTCATCTGTCTTTTTACAAATTCGAATGTGAAAAATTGGAAAAATTGGTTTTTTAGCCCCAAATCCCAAATTTTCGTTTCCAACTTTTTTCTAAATGAACGAATTTACGCATATCTTTCTGTAAAACACTAGTCACAAACATAGTTTTGTTCTTAATTTTGCTTCATCTGTCTTTTTACAAATTCGAATGTGAAAAATTGGAAAAATTGGTTTTTTAGCCCCAAATCCCAAATTTTCGTTTCCAACTTTTTTCTAAATGAACGAATTTACGCATATCTTTCTGTAAAACACTAGTCACAATTATAGTTTTGTTCTTAATTTTGCTTCATCTGTCTTTTTACAAATTCGAATGTGAAAAATTGGAAAAATTGGTTTTTTAGCCCCAAATCCCAAATTTTCGTTTCCAACTTTTTTTTAAATGAACGAATTCACGCATATCTTTCTGTAAAACACTAGTCACAATTATAGTTTTGTTCTTAATTTTGCTTCATCTGTCTTTTTACAAATTCGAATGTGAAAAATTGGAAAAATTGGTTTTTTAGCCCCAAATCCCAAATTTTCGTTTCCAACTTTTTTCTAAATGAACGAATTCACGCATATCTTTCTGTAAAACACTAGTCACAAACATAGTTTTGTTCTTAATTTTGCTTCATCTGTCTTTTTACAAATTCGAATGTGAAAAATTGGAAAAATTGGTTTTTTAGCCCCAAATCCCAAATGTTCGTTTCCAACTTTTTTCTAAATGAACGAATTTACGCATATCTTTCTGTAAAACACTAGTCACAATTATAGTTTTGTTCTTAATTTTGCTTCATCTGACTTTT